TGTTGTTATAAACTCAAAACTGAAACTAAAATTATTAAAATATTAATAGGTGAAAAGAAATGTGCCTTGGCAACTGAAATCAAATCATTTTAAATGGTTAGAACTGAAATAAAAATAAATTAAAGCCACATATAAATATATACATTTTAAAATCGAATAAAATTAAATGAAAACTGAAGATATAAAAGCTCATTTAAATTACAAATAAATACTACAATAGTATGTAAATAATACTAAATTAACTCTGCTTGTAACACCCCTCTCAATTTATTTTCTTCCCTAATATCATTCATGTTTATTTAAACACTGATATATTGATATTATTGATCTCTTCTTGGTCCGTGGGGTCATTCCTGGCACCTGTAAACGATTACCTTTACGGTAGGCTACATAAATTCAGCACATTTCTGCTAGGCTTGAGCAGGTTTGTCCTTCTAGATCCAAAATGGATCCAAAATCCAAGATACTTTTGTGTACATGAGTTAGAGCTCAACAGCACACACCACTCTTTTAAATGAACCTGGTAGCAGGTTAATCCAAGGGCACATGCGCATGAAACTGTAGAATGGATGCTCATCTAAATTTCTTGTTTCTTTCCTACTTTTTTTTAATTTTCTTTTTTTTTTATTTAACCTTTCCTGGAAGTCCTGCATAGCACTTATGGGAAGAATCAGAAATGGAGAAAAAAAAGAAAGAATCTAAACTACCCCTTCTCTTGTGGAAAGAAGTGAGCCAGCAGAAAAGGTCTATTTAAACAGCGGTACTCAAGAACTTCCTCCTGCTAGCCTACTAAAATAACCTTTCATTTTCACACCAATTGTGTCTGGCACTCTGAGGGTAGGTTAAGTGTCTATATTTGTGCTGAGGGCTTTCTGCATGAGCAAGGCTGTAGTAAAATGTGAGCATGGAGGCTGTGATTTGATTTACTGAAGGGCCACAAAAAAAGTCTTGGGCTTATGTATTAGATCCAAATCATTAAGAAATGTCATTGCAGTGTGTGCTGCGTGCTTTAAGTCCTTGGTCGGTGGACCTCAGCCTCTGGTTTGCTGATTACATACATTTATCTTCATGTGACCCTGAGGTGAAGCAGGATGTTTCGGCGGTACGTGAGAAACCACACAACCTCACGGTACCCACCAGCTCCCTCACTTCCTTATCCTCACGTACGTTTACATCAGCCATTGTACTGACTGCGTATATTTCAAACTGGGCTTACTAACGATGAAGATAGCAGACTTGATTCGAACTAAATTCCCCGGATGTAACGTCGTTCGTTATGCAGACTTGTTTTGCTGAAAACGTCAGATAGGCTACTAAGTCACTTTAAGGTATTCTGAAGTCTTTGTTCATATCGGATCAAAAAGATCCTATATTTTCTTGTAATGTCATTAAAACAAGATTATAGATGATCTGCACGATCATCTCAAAAGACTTGACTAGGTTAAGTTAAGACGTAACTTAATAAGCTTAAAAAAACTCTTCTCACTTATCATGTTCACCTAAAAATTAGCCTAACAATTTACGTCAGTTGCTGCTTTAGGCTAATTAGCCTATTTTATACTTTTATTTCATTTTATTAATATATAGGCTATTTTATTATTATGGTTGTATATTACCAGTGGTAAGTAGATTTTATTTATTTATTTATTTACTTATTCATTCATTCATTCATTGTGACATTAATCCATTTCATAGGCTATAGCCTAGGCTATGTATGTTTCTAGGTTTTTATTTATTGTTATTTTATTTTTCCTTTATTCCTATTTTATTTATTCTTTGTTCATATATATATATATAGAGAGAGAGAGAGAGAGAGAGAGAGATTAAAATTAAGGCAGAAAATAACCACTACTTTTTTTAAATAAATAAACAGTGTAGCCTATAGTTATCGTTATTTTTATTTATTATTATAGTTATTTAAACAGTTATACTGCTTTTATTTGTGTATTCATTTATTTATGTAGGCTAAGTTGTCTTTTCTGTTATATATTTTTATTTTATTTATTTACATTATTTCTGTTTTATTTATTTAGCCTAGTTATTTATGATAGTGTGCTGGCTCATCCATCTGAACTTTTATTGTAACTGCAAGGACTATGAAGAATGACAGTATGACAGCATGATGAAGAAGTTACCACCCACGATGGTCTTGTAGGGAGGGAAACATCGTGTTTAATGCACTTTGCATAGTGCTCGAATAGTTTAAACCAGGCGTGGGTCTCTTTCTCTCACAGCGCGTGAGTGTCACTACTGTGAAAGCGCGCGCAGCACTTGTCTGTGGCCAGCCACCACAACTCCACAGAGTAGAGAGAAGCGGCGACTCAACTCGACTTTTCCTTGACCAAACACGTTCAGAGTAGTGTATTTGTGTATATATTACTTCGTCAGGGTGATAAAAACGCGTGGAACGATGTGGTCTGTACTCATTTGTTGTATTCGGTTTTGCGGTTGGACATTCAGAAGTGACAGAACGCTTGCGGAGAAACCTACAAGTCAGGTGCGCGGGGGAAACACGCTTGTAAACAGCTAAAGTGAGTAACGGTGTTTTTACACCGTTAGATTTAGTCCGTAAATCTATTTGTTTTCTAGTAAACTTTGTGATTTAACTGAAAGTATTGAACTTTGTCAGCCTTTTAGATCAGAGGGAGACTGACACCTGTATTGTTTTGCTCATTCTAATCTATAAATTCATCATCTTTATTAATTAATGTAACAACTTTGCTCACCTTTTCTGATTTTATTGTATATTTTTACAGTGGGCATAAGTAGTTCACATGACAAGCAGTCTCCAGCAATGTGACATATTCATGTGATGTAATAGCCTACTTCCATCTAAAAACTATTTTAAGAGCATTTTTTTCTCATTTTCTTTTATTTTTAAAAAAAAGTATTATGCTATTCATGCACTTTTATGGCCTAGTTTTAACTGTGAAAATACTGTAATTTATTTGTTTCATTATTTACTTTTATTTTTTAACATTTTTTTAATCATTTGCCACACCTCATGGCCATATAAGAGGATTAAAAAGGGTTAAAAAAAGATGACTAGCTAGAGCATTTTTAATGTTTAAACCTTATCTTATAGATAAATACAATTCTTAAAGATTTGAATTAATATTTAAAAATTTCATATGCTATTTGCCAGCCACTATAACCTACATAAATCCATATATAGAATGATTTACAAAAAAAGTATGTAATTTACAAGCTAGCCTATATAAAGCATCCTTCTCTGTTGTTCTCCATTAAATCTAGATGTTTAGCAAGTTTAAAATAACCACTTATGATAGTTATGTGTGGCTGAATTGTCACAGAATTCCGCAACAAATATCTCATAATGTTTCAGACATTGTTTCTCTGCTGTGTAAATGTTTCAGCATTCCTCTAAATGTCGAATTTTTCTTAAGAAAAAGTTTTTGTAATCAGCAATGTGTTTCTCTACTCTGTGATGCTATTGAAATGACTTGTGATGTAGTTACCTGG